TAATACTGCTATTTTCTTGCCACTGTTATAATACTGCTATTTTCTTGCCACTGTTATTACTGCTATTTTCTTGCCACTGTTATAATACTGCCATTTTCTTGCCACTGTTATAATACTGCTATTTTCTTGCCCAGTTGTGTTTAGAGTTAATCTAAACAGTAAGCTATTTTCTTGCCACTGTTATAATACTGCTATTTTCTTGCCACTGTTATAATACTGCTATTTTCTTGCCCAGTTGTGTTTAGAGTTAATCTAAACAGTAAGTTACATCACATATTCCATACACTCTGCTTAACTCAAGTTCATGGTTACAGCTTGGCAATCCTTGGGAGATAGTCAGAAATGATGTTTCATACCCTGTGAAATTCTTTGGCAAAGTGATCATCGGGTCAGATGGAAAGAAGCACTGGATTGGTGGGGAGGACATTCAGGCAGTTGCATATGATGTTCCAATTCCAGGATATAAGACTAGAACCACAATTAACCTTCGGTTGTGGTCTACTAAGGTTCCATCCGAGGATTTTGATCTATATTCTTTCAATTCAGGAGAGCACACCAAAGCATGTGAGGCCCAAGCAAATGCTGAGAAAGTAAGCTTCTTATACTACTTTTTTGTGAAGCCTTAATGTTCCGGATACATGTTTGGATTTTTAACTCTTTAAGGAGTCGAAGTGTACCCTGCTCATAAAATTATTGCAGAATTGTTAGTACATGAGATCGATGATACAAATGAAATGAAGGAATATAGAAGTTGCTTTATTTTGCACATAGACACCTGTGAACACCTTTTCATTAATTTATTCCAGTTCTCAAACCCTTTTCCACAAGATTGTGTCCTTATGATGCAATAAGCAAAACATTATCTGAAGCCGGAGTATTTTGTCTGATGTTTTTCTTCTGTTTCAGATATGTTACATACTCTACCCTGGGGATGAATCAATTGAAGGAAAAATTTTACGACTGAAGCAACAATACACCTTGTGCTCTGCTTCTCTACAAGATATAATTGCTCGATTTGAGAGGAGATCTGCTGAAAATGTTAAATGGGAGGAGTTTCCTGAAAAAGTTGCTGTCCAGATGAATGACACCCACCCAACTCTATGTATCCCAGAACTGATTAGAATATTGATTGATTTGAAGGGCTTGAGTTGGAAGGAAGCTTGGACTATCACTCAAAGGTTCGCCCATATGGCCATATGTGCTTTCTTTGCATTTTTTATTTGAATCCAAGATGACATATTCAGTATGGATTTTAATCAGGAAAGTGCATGCAAATATTTGATAATTAAAAAAAAAAAATGCCTGTGATTATCATGCAAGTGGTTTATTTTTATGTAAAGATTTTAGTTTATCTTGAGAACACAGAGTAAATTATCCATATGTGACTCTCTTTATCTGTTTTTTTTTTTTTAATTCTTTACCTTTCTTCTTCTTCCATGCCTGCCTTCATTGTATTTATTTGGCTCTTTTCCTCAGCTACTTGTAGTTGATGGTATCCCATATGTTTGAGGTCTTTTCTTCTGCCACCTTTTTTTTTTTTTCAACATTATCAATATGTGACTCTCTTTATCTGTGCACTGACCTTGTGTGTTTAGTTCAAACATCAGATTATTAGAATTGATGAAATTGAAGAAATTTCCAATAGCGTTCTATGTTCTGAAAAATGATAATTTTATTTAAAGTTTTATAATTCAAATGGTACCTTGGCTGGTGTATGCTTTGCTAGGACTGTGGCTTACACAAATCATACTGTTCTGCCTGAGGCACTGGAGAAATGGAGTTATGAGCTGATGGAGAAGCTGCTCCCTAGACATATAGAGATTATAGAGATGATAGACGAGCAGGTAATGAAAATCATGAAGAAGTCAACTGACCTATTCATAATTCATTAAATAATTTTCTTGCATAACTAATTCCTGTTATGTATTCTTTTATTCAGCTGATAAATGAAATAGTATCAGAATATGGCACGTCAGATCCTGACATGTTAGAAAAAAAGTTGAATGATATGAGAATTTTGGAGAATTTTGAACATCCCAGCTCTATTGCCAACTTGTTTACCAAACCAAAGGAAACGTCTATTGTTGATCCTAGTGAAGAAGTTGAAGTTTCTGGTAAAGTGGTGACTGAGAGTGTTAAAGTTTCTGATGAAGTGGTGACTGAGAGTGAAAAAGATGAACTTGAAGAAAAAGACACAGAACTGGAGAAAGATGAGGACCCAGTACCAGCTCCCATACCACCCAAGATGGTCCGCATGGCTAATCTTTGTGTTGTTGGTGGTCATGCTGTAAATGGAGTTGCCGAGATTCATAGTGATATAGTGAAGGAAGATGTTTTTAATGACTTTTACCAGGTATTTCTCTTAGCAGGTTTAATTTCAATCTTTGAACTTTAACACTCCTTGATTTCAGCCATACAAAGTACCACAAATCATATTTTAAAATTCTGAAAGCTTTTAAATCATTTCCTATGTTACTCTACTCTTTCACAGCTTTGGCCTGAGAAATTTCAAAACAAAACAAATGGTGTGACGCCAAGAAGATGGATCCGATTTTGTAATCCTGCTCTAAGTAATATCATTACTAAGTGGATTGGTACAGAGGACTGGGTCCTAAACACAGAAAAGTTGGCAGAACTGCGCAAGGTATTAAACATAAGCTTTTGGCATTGTGTTCACTTAAACATTCTCTATTTCTGTTTCTAAATCTGCTACTCTTAATTCTCATGATGGTTGTGCAATCCTCATCTTCTAACTCAGCTAAGAAATCCTATGTACAGTTTGCAGATAATGAAGATCTTCAAAAAGAGTGGAGGGCTGCAAAAAGAAGCAACAAAGTTAAGGTTGCCTCATTCCTAAAAGAAACGACAGGGTATTCAGTCAGCCCCAATGCAATGTTTGATATCCAGGTCATTTCTTTGCTTCTAAAATTTCTGCTCCATTGATTCTATCAGTTTGGTTAATTTGAAATGCCAAATCATTTATAAATTTGGACTAACGGAAACACTTCAGGTAAAACGAATTCATGAATACAAGCGCCAACTCTTGAATATCTTGGGAATTGTTTATCGCTACAAGCAGATGAAAGAAATGAGCGCAGCAGAAAGAGAAGCTAAGTTTGTTCCTCGAGTATGCATATTTGGAGGAAAAGCTTTTGCTACATATGTTCAAGCTAAAAGGATCGTAAAATTCATAACAGATGTTGGAGCCACCATAAACCATGATCCTGAGATCGGTGATTTGTTGAAGGTATTGAGTGCCAATTATATTTTATTATTGTTATTGTGTTTCATCTATCGCACATGTGTCTCACTAATTAATAGGGTTTGTTGACATCATGGCATTATACATGATATACGCTATTACCAAGAAGCTCAGACGTCTGAATGATTTTTAGCATTCTTAATTTTATTTTGTTGTTCTTTTAGGTTATTTTTGTCCCCAATTACAATGTCAGTGTTGCAGAACTGTTGATTCCAGCTAGTGAACTTTCACAACATATCAGGTATTCTGACTCAGCTGTGTTGTATTCATCCCCAAATTCTTCTTTGTTATTTTTTTAATAATATTTTTCAGCAAAAATCAGGGACTGATATTGCTAGTACACTTTTCTTCACAACTCATTAAGTGTTTGGGAAAACAACTGTCTGAAATGCTTGAATAGCTTATTGTCAATTATTAGAGATGGATATGATTTGTTTATTTATTTAATGGTTTTCAGCTTTAGATAGACTGATAGAGTGCTGGAAAGTGGAGGCATCTAACTCTCTATTTTCTCTTGCCATGTGTGTGCAGTACTGCCGGAATGGAGGCCAGTGGAACCAGCAATATGAAATTTGCCATGAATGGTTGCCTCTTAATCGGGACCTTAGATGGAGCCAATGTTGAGATAAGGCAAGAGGTTGGAGAGGAAAACTTCTTTCTCTTTGGGGCTGAAGCTCATGAGATTGCAGGGCTTCGGAAAGAAAGAACTGAGGGAAAGGTAAAGTTTCCTGTTTTTATAGATTGGAATACAAAATTCTCTCCATATATTATATCATTTTTTGTCTATTGAGTATACTTCACACATGGAATTCACATCGCGCAATTTAATTCTTACCTCTTAATGCAGTTTGTACCAGACGAACGTTTTGAGGAAGTCAAGGAATTCATAAAGAGTGGTGTTTTTGGCTCCAATACCTATGATGAGCTTCTTGGATCTTTGGAGGGAAATGAAGGCTTTGGTCGTGGAGACTATTTCCTCGTGGGCAAGGACTTCCCTAGTTACATAGAATGCCAAGAGAAGGTTGATGAGGCATATCGAGACCAAAAGGTTAGTGATTTTAGTGCCTATTTTCTTGTTCATGTGCTCTTCTTCTCATTTTGACAGTTGAAACTACTATAGTGAAATTCATTTTGACTTGCAAATTGGAGCTGTGCTTTTTAATAATTACATGCCCAACTGCCATGTTGCAGATATGGACTAGAATGTCAATCTTGAACACTGCCGGAAGCTACAAATTCAGCAGTGATAGAACAATCCATGAATATGCCAAGGACATATGGAACATCCAGCCAGTTCAGTTTCCCTAGAAAGAATCAACCAATTTTCTGAGCAGCCATAATAAAATGTTCTCTTAATTATGTCCTATGTTCTTGTTTATGTAGATTCGATGTAGGCGCAAGATCCTGTGATGATCTAATAAATCTTGCTTAGCTTCCTTCTATTACCCAATATCCTTTTATAAGGGTTCATGTACTTCTGATCAATCCTTAATAAACAATTTTTAGTTTCACATCAAACATAAGAAGTTGATTGCAGTAAGAAATCATGACTTTTTTACTACTGTAAATTCTACAACTCTGAATACAAGGATGACTATTCTATTCCAGAGGTAAGGTATGCACATTGTTATGAAAGATGTGATAGAGAGTATGGAAGAAAATATCTGTTTGAAAATGTACAATTGCACAGTATATCTATCCACTAATGACCTGATTTATTCTTTGAGGATCCAGAAGCTCAGCAAGCTAGGTTTTCCTTTATGACTTTGCTTTTCATGAAACAGTGTCTCCTGTGACCACCCAAAGTTTGGCCTGATGCAAAAGCCTTGAAGCATATAGAACATTTGTGTACTTTATACTTGCCCCCAGTTGAGTTAACACATTCCTTTTTCACTTTGCTTTTCTTGAAACCCCAACCCATTTTCACATTATTAACCTTCTCGAATTCATCAGCTCTGATAAACCCCCTTCTCTTTCCATCATCACCATTTACGACCACAGTTTTGTTTTCTCCATTGTAGCTTCTCCTCGCACCCCGAGAAAGCATCATCAAGCACGCAGCCACCTCTTCCACCTCATCAAACTCAGAAACTACAGGTAGTTCTGAAATCTTTAACCCCATTGTCGTGGATGGTTTCTTGGGAACAGGACGATGAGGTTGTTCTTGAGGTAGAATCTTGGGTCTTTTGGAATGAACTCGCATGTGGCCATACACAGCCTTCATGGAACCAAATCCTTTGCCGCATTTCTGGCAGAGATAATCATCCTTGGAAGCAAAACGAAAACCCCCAATATCTCCTCCTCCATCATCTCCGACAACATACAATTTCGCTACCTTTTCTTGATTCATCGTACAGCTTCTGAGAATGGCTCCGAAGAATCCCAGTGTTAGTTTGTTCGATATATGTTTCGGAATCTACAATGGGTTTTTGCTTGCCGTCGTCAAGACTAGGTTGACCACTGACCACGCACGTGATCACCCATTATTCAGTCAGATCAAAGGCTCCAAGAAAACTCTCTCTCTCTCTGCGACCTTCAAAGCGAATGCCGGCCGAATCCCCAAAAGAAATCCTCGAGAATTATTTGAAACCGGACAGATAGATTCCTTGAAATCCCAGATTAGGAACGCTAACTGGGTATCTAAGATACTAACTGAATCTACCAGCTAAAGAGTAGAGAGCCCAAAGAAGTGGTTTTTACCGACTTGAGAGTGAGTGGGTTTCTGAAGGCCAGTTGCATAACAGCGTGTTGAGGTAGCTATGAGAAGACCATGCATGGAAGCAAGGACTCGCACTGTGTTCAACTTTAAAGAAACAAGTCTCTCTCCCTACAAATTATGACGACCCATCTTTGGACTTTTATTAGGAAATTACTAAGGGGATTCCCAAATTTTACTTTCACTCTTAAATTTTTTATGTAGACATTTTTTTGAGAGTAAAAGTGAGTGAGTAAAATTTGAAAGTGCATGTAATAAAATTTCTTTTATTAAGAGGTAAATTTATGGGTTCGTTCTACTACATATACTCCCAAATCTTACCCCCTCAAATTTATTTTCCGATGTAATATGATATGTTATTTTCTTCATGTGACTTCTGTAAAAATGTCAACATCAATATTTTAAGTGTGAGAGTACAAATTGAGAGTCCTCAAATTTATTTCCCGATGTATATGATATGTTATTTTCTTCATGTGGCTCCTGTAAAAATGTCAACATCAATATTTTAAGTGTGAGAGTAAACATTGAGAGTATAGAATGTAAGTAAATGCAATATTTTTCTAAATTTATACCACATGAATAAAATTCAAACGATAATTGGACAATTAATAACATAACATGCTACTAAACATACTTTATATTGGTGTGATCTTGATGAAATTCGAAATAAGTTACTAAATTTACTTTGAATTAGTCAACTAACTGTATGTTATATGTTTGGAAAAATCTGTTGACTTTATCATTAAGATTAAGAATAAAGAATGGTATGTACCAAATCTTTTATTACACCATTTGGTAAATGAGTTTTGTAGCTTTTGCAAATTATGGAGTATAAAGTAATAAATAGGGAGGAAATGAATAGTTTAATGCCACGAAAGTTGGAATGATGAAAATAGTACTTTGCGTTGATTAATTATTTAATTACTTTACAATTTTTTATTTTCTTTACTTTTTATGTGGTTCAATTTTTTATCGCCTTATAAACATCCGAAGTTAATGCATTATTAGTGGAACTTGTATCAAATTATAATTAACTTACTAAAAATGAAGCTACAAAATACTAAAAATAAACCTTGATGTCAATGCATGGTTTATCTCGAAATAACTGAATTCATCCAATAACAATAGCATGTGTAAAACTTATGACCTTATATGAATCGAACAAATATATGGCTTTCTGAAAAGCCAACTAGATGAAAGGCAAAAAAGAAAATAAAAAATTGAGGCAAATAAGAGAAAACTGAACTGAATGAAGGGGAAAAAAAAAAAAACAAAGAATCCCAGCTGACTGTGGATCAGTACAATAATCTCTGGTTCGACAAAAAAGTTACTCAAACAATGTATGTGATGCGTTTAAGCAACGGCAGGCATGTCCTTGAGCCAAGGATCGAGCGGCTTACCAATGGAGTAGACAATGAAGCCAATCTCTCTCAGCTTCTCCGCATTAACAATGTTTCTGCCATCAAAGATGAAGGCGGGTTTCTGCATGTTGTCGTGTATTCTTTTGAAGTCGAGGTTCTTG